CATTTGCTAAAAGAGAGAAACTTGCTGAAGATGCTTCTCCCTGCGGTGCTCGTGGACGTGGTGCTCTGAGCTCTGGTGCTGCACGAGGCTGAGTTTCGGGGGGGCGGGGGGCAGCGGGGATCCGCACTGCTGCAGGCGCTCGAGCACACGACCTTTGGTAAAGGCAGAGTTAACCAGGCACGCTTCCCCGCTGCCGCCCGTGATAAGGGGCCATCCTCCTCCGGCGTTGCCCTGATGCGGTGGCGATAAGCAGCTGGCTTTGTTTGCTCCCGAGCACGAGGCTGTTGACGGAGATTTCCATCATCATCGGCTGTGGCCGAGAGAGGGGAAAAGTCCCCGTGCATCAGCGCTCACAGCCTGCGGGGAGGTGCGCCCCAAAGGCGCGGGGTGCCGGGGCTGCGTACCCCCTTCCTCCGGGCAGGTAGCGCCGGGGAAAAGCTCCACCACAGCCTTGTCACTGCACAGGGACCAGTTAAAAACCCTACAGACCCACAGATGGCTCCAGCATCGCACTTTGCTCCGAGGCCTCGGCCGCTATTGACTGCAGCTGTCCCGGAAAATCAGATTATAGTGCAAAACCCTGGCATCGAGTCTGCTCTGACAAGTCAGGTCTTCCATCTCCTGGCTAGATCGTCAGGATGAAGAGCACACGAAGGGGAGCAGGGGGATAAGCCTCCACCGCGAGAGCTTTTCCTCTGGCCTCAGCTGTGTCGGAGGAGTGCTGCAAACCCAGACCTCCTCGGTGTTCCCCCGGGCCCGCGATGGCCACGGCCATGCCCAAGACTTGGGTGGGAGAAGGGGGATCTCGCCCAGGAACCGCGCACGGGAGCTCCTGACCCGGCTCGTCTCCCTTGTCCGTGGCAAAAGCCATCAGAGCTCAGCTGCCCACTCCTCCTCCTCGCGCCGGAGTGCTTTAGGGCCGTTGAACAGGCATTAACTGTAGATTTAAATGCTCCCAGGGCAGCAAAGGGAAAAGCTCGTCCGTGTCCACGGCGAGAGCAACCCTCCAGCGTCCCCACAGCAGGCGCCCGACCTCCGGCATTGGCACCTCAGCGTCACCGCGGCAGGCACCCGAGCTCCGGCGCTGGCCCTGGGTTTGCCAGGCTGCCTGAGCCCCGCCGTGTTGGCCATCACCTCCCCTCCCTCTTGTGCAAGCGCTGTTACTTATTTACGTCTTCATTGTGTGCCTGCCTGGCTTCTCACCAGAGCAATTTATTTTCCACTCCTGCTTCGATGTGACTGTTCAAGCCTCCTTTTCCAGTCAGGATGAGGCCGCGCCACTGGAAATATGTCACACAGCTGAAGACATTTATTTCAGCGGAGAGAGTCGCAAGCGCCTCGGGTGACGCTTCATTTGCAGTCGGGAAGAAAGATGCCAAGTGTCGCTCGCTGAAACCAGTTGCTGAGGCAGACTGGAGACAACGCGGGTTCCCGTCTTGGAAAAACTTGAGCCCACGCTCCGTCCACCCCACGGGCTCTGCCCTGCTCCGCGCCTGCCCCCAGTCCCTCAGACCCAACTTCGCGCAGGGACGCTGCCAGCGGCAGGCGCTCCGTGTCTGCCTCGAGTGAAC